GTTTGGCACCCTTCGTCGAATTTATGTGCCTCCCGAATAAGTTGCCTCTAGGCTTCAAGTATATGCCAAAGCCTTTTAAATATGTGATCCGGTTTGAGTATGGTGACACTACAGGATCTTTGCTCAATGAGCCTGACACCTCAAGGCTATCTTTCGAAGATCAACTTGTATGTTTCTTGGACTATAATTTCAATTCCTTCCGTTTTGCGGATAATGTGTGGGCAGTTTGTAGCCAAATAATTTATCAATTTTTTTAAGAGATACGCTGTTTAGAAAACGTGTGCTTACCTTAATAAACACTGTCATGGAACTGGAATCATTTATTAAAAGGAATGAATTCCCATACTTCTTTGCCTGAAATTTTTTCCAAATCTGAGTTGGAACTTTCGAACTACTAACATTTTCATCGCAACACTCAAGGTCGCGCCATTGCAAACGGTGAAAATTAGCAATACAGAAGTGGTAGACAAAATCAGGAATGATTACACTTTACCCGTAGCCATCAATATAGGAGTATGATATTCGAGAATGAAACGCATTACCAAAACGAGAGTGATGTTGTACGAGTTTGATATAAACGAACGGATATAGGCAGAACACTGCCACTTCACACGCACTAATGATGTCACCTCGGCTGGTGATGAAACGTTTGCAAACAAAAGGCTGAACTCGGCGGAAAGGTAAGATGGAATTCTGTTCACCCGAGCTACGAAAACCGATTTTCAATAATTTGTCAACTGCATACTTAGACCACCTCTCCACATTCCTTCACCTAGTTGACACATAATAATTGTTTTTTGTTTCTGAAATTTCTTTACACTGACTCCAGGAATCTTGATTTGAATTATTGTTCATTCTATTTCCCCTTACGTTTGTTCATGGTCTACTATTCAAATGTACTAAACGTTAGCTTATCATTCGTGAAATAACAATCTTGATACTTGTATTCGTAAGAACACTGCACGATAAGCAGCACGCGCTTTGCCTTTCACAGTCACGAGTTTTTAACAGTTTAGCACTTTAAAAGCTTTCAAAACGGAAACATTTCAATTGTTTAATTGGAGCTCACAAGTCCAAACGTTGATCTGAGGAATGAGAACCACGGGTTAGTTGGTAATGGTAATGATGACGCTCTAATAGTTTTGCTGCAGTGTTTACCATTTATTCATCCTCTCACTCCAGAACAGTATGAATACTTTTGCTCCAGTTCTCGTTGCCATGAAAGAACACTTGCCACAAAATGTAATGATCAGGTTGTGGATGTTAATGAACTTGGCAAGAAGCAAGAAAAATTGCATTGTTTATACATAACTATGTATCATACTCCATACTTAAAAATTGTAATACAATGTGAATAACACATGAGAGAGCTCCATGGAAATTTGATGCAAAATTTCTGCCCTAAAATGATAATATTCATAGTGGCAGTAATAAGAAAATAGTCTGCTAAATTCTACTAAAATGATGCTCCAAGTGGTCACCCCTAAAACTGTGGTGACACCGGAAGACTAGTCAAATGACGTTTGATGACCATCAACGGCTGTACGTACAATGCGGGAAAATTGGTCTGCATTGAGTTGAGTGACGTTCTAACTAGCATATAAAAAGACCCCGTAAAAGAACATTCCCGATTCCGTTGTTCTCCACGAGTACCTTGAGGCACTCGGGAAAACATATATTGAAACAGAACAATCTCTAGCAAGAATACAAGGTGCAGATCGAACATTCGGTCAGTAAAATCGTACCACCTCACCTGTACCTGTCTGTCTGTCTACCTATCTGTTTGCATAGTTGTTTGTTCGACCTTTCATCAGTTCATCCGAGGGCACAATTTCATTTTCTCTTCAGCTTAGATGATCTTGTCAGATAAAGTTAGTTGAAAAAGTGTCATCACACCAGCCAAAGGATGAAGTTAGTCCTGAACTGCAACAAATCCATTCCTTACTTTGTGCCTCCAACTTTCATACATGCCACACTCTTGTCACTTGATTTCCATTCCCCTATCCATTTTGCCCGGAGCTATTACGCTTATACCGCTGCATTCTGTTTTCCTGGTTCAACTCAGTATAGGCTTATTAACTTCCTGTTCTTGTGTGCCTTCATGTTCCATATCTTTCAGTTTCTCCCTATTCTTGTCTCAAATGCAATTATCTGTCGACGCATCAAACCAAGAATATCCTTGATCCTTACCTACAAGTTACTCAAAACCAGGGCCTGCATTCAGATGTATGAACCATTTGAGCAGTTTTCACTATCCACTTTCAGTGATTCATGAAAGAAGTAATTCGAATACGTTTTGATTCTAATACTATCTCTAAGCCAAAAGCATATAGGCGGGTTACTCGCAAGTCATTCGTTGTAAATACAGACATGAAAGTAATATCACTGATTCAAACATCTCGCCAAGTTATTGTGGTTGTTTTCGAAATTTAAATGGTAAATCCCTTTTCGTTCATTGATTTCAAACTTGTTGGCTATTCCAGATACAACGTGGAACACTACAACTCCGACTTCTGCATCACAGTTTTCTCAAGTAAACCGCTTGCGACTANTAACTGTACAGTTTTCGATGTGTTTAGCCAGCCCGTCATGATGCATCCACATGGTAGCCTATAAAGGTATAGATTGTAAAACATTGCTCTCATTTTGGACGTACATTTCTTTTTTCAGTGTATAGCAATGCATAGCTAAGGGTGAATAATAATTATTCTGACCTTTATCTCCCACTGCAATTTTCTTACCTCCACAGTATCAGCCTTTGTAATTTGTACGCATGGAGGTTATGTGTGGTGTCCGCGTAAAATTCTGCCCTTTACACATATGGAGGAGTATTTACGGAAGCTTGATCCTTGAACTTGCAGTTTGGACAAACGGTCAAAATGCGGCAAATAAATAAATTTGAATACCTAAGGAAAGACTAATCAGATGTTTCATTCGTGAATACATTTTGGCTGAATGTGAAAAAGTTGGATTGATTTGTTTGCTGAAGACCTTCAGAGTTGAGCTCAGTAATGCTTTTTGTTCAAACACGTCAACAGCAAATGTTTTAAGAAAAAGTACATCAATAAACATGCTATTTTCGTCGAATTGTTAACTGGCTGATTTCTGTCCAATGACGCACTCTACATCGTTGTTTTTCGGTCATAAAACTGTAATTTGATTTTTTTCTCGCAATGTTTAATTATCCTCAGGAATGTTAAGATACGAATTTTGGCTTTATACGTCGATGAGCGTATTCTCGAAAACAAAGTTTTCCCCTGCCATGTGTATGCTTTAATTTTGCTTCGTAAATCTCCTTCTGAAAAGGAAACAAACAGCAAATAGGATTGAGCATCATGCCTACATCATGTCACAGCATTTTAACAAACTTGCTGAGAAACTCTCCTTGATAAACATTTCGTTCCAATATGATACATTGGGGACTGAATCTCAGTCTTTTTCTCCGCTGCAACTCTTTCACTCCTTACATTCATGAGAGAAAACCCTCGTGCTCAATGCGAGTTATAAGAGACAGAAGAAACAGACGCTCTCGCTCGTTTTTCCTTACTTTAACCGCAAAAAACTGTACGCTGAGCAATCTGTAACCATGAGAAACACCCATATATATTAGGTTTGTTATCCATTTTGTGTACCGAAGAGATTGGGTTAAATGCTTTTCATTTAAAGAAAAAAACACTTGACCATTATCAATATCTGAGAAACCGAGACTTGTGTTAACCGAACAGGATATTTGATTCCAATGTACACTGTTTTCGCTTTTTTTGTTTTTCATTTTTTTAGATTAGCAAGCTTGGATTAGCCCATTTGTTTGTTAAGAGACACAAGGGGCCTCATGTTTATGCCAAGTGTCTGGTTTGTCGCTTTCTTTTCGTGTATCATTTACTGACTCAAATGGTTGATTATTTCGCCAACGTTCACACTGTCATCTGATGGTTGGTGTTCCGGTGAATCGCTCTACTTTACGTAGTTTTATCTAATAGGTAACCTTGTTTCATTTTCACACCACCGGTGAGAGAATGTTCTCACAAACACAACCTCGAATTGACTGCATAAACGACTAATACAAGGGATGTCAACCATGGCTTCGACACCGCGCAAACTAAACAGGCGAAATGATAGTAACTTGAATCGGTTGAAGTGAAACGTTCCCGCCTTGGATTAACAGTCGTTAATTTTTATCGTTATTGCGCAAATCCAATCCAACAATTCTTTATCTAGCGTTACCTTTGATACATTTTGGCCCAATATTTATGGAATACCAGATAGATTTATATATTCAACTAGAAGAGGACAAAACACAGAAATGAAACGTGATGACAATACTGCCTAGTTGATATCTGCGCAGAAATCTCACAGGGGTTTAAGAAAGTGCTACCCAAACAATACCGGTGTATTTCAAATATCTTCAATGGAATATTTACTAGATTTTGTTTATGTGGGATTTTAGCCGTATCTAATAACATGTTAGTGTCCGCATTGTAACGTGTGCATACAGTCGTCGAACAACAACGGAATGGTCTCAAAATTATTCGCAAACGGTTGGGTGTGGTCTTGACCCTGAGCCCCAAGAAATCAGAATTATATCCCCAGGATAAAGTGCAGCCCAGATGTGCTTCAATAATAAAACATGTGTGATGGTTGACCCCATCACCGCTTTGACAGTAATCGTGATCAAACAGTGGAAGAAAATCGACAATTATTTAGTTCTTACTCACCACAAGGTCATTTGTATGCTAACTACAACAGAAGGTGTAAAATAATAGTGCACACACCTTGTAACAAAGAACATCCTGCATCGGCATGTAGAAAACAGCAACAGTATAATCTCTTGTTGTATTTAGTATCATTTTACTTTTAAAAGTTAACCACAGCCCGCGTTGATGATGATCACGTTATTCAAGTCCTACACCTTGTGGTAGCAAAACTTCGTCATATAGTATTTATAGTTGTTCAATTTTTAAACGAGCCACCACTGTTACACCGAAACATGACGGTATTTATCAGGATGAACAAAACGTACTCTCGTATCTTTCAGGTTTATAACTCAGAGATGAATAGAGAAACAATTTGACAGCTATGGGGCCGCACACACACAGACAAATGTAAACGTATTTACAGAAATCATAACTGTAGCGGTTGCGGAGAAGTGTGTGGGTGTGTGAATATTCACTCAGAGAAGACATTGATTTCTTGTTACAAGTAAGGATATTCCGGGTCCGGACCCGAAACCCTAGCTTTGCAATCGCATAACAGTTGCAATCCACAGAAATCGAACATGCCATGTACGAACCAAAAGGGACATAAGAGTTGTTTCGTATGTTTGTTTTCGTACTATAACACAAATGATTCACACCGATGCTGATTCCGAAGTCACACACGATCTTGCTGTGGTTCTGTGAATGCCGAGACAGTCAAGTAGGTGCACGGACCGGATGTGGTAACATAAAATGATATTTCACGAGAATCATTGAAGGACTTCACCTGGATTGTAGCTTCTTGCTAACCAATTCGTTTGTTGTGTTGATCTGATGAACTGGTCTTCGATCAAATTAGTCCAAGGTAGATAGGAATCTGTTCTCCATATAATGTTGATTTCAGCATGGAGATTGATTATCACATTCCTTTGTCAATAGACCCAGTTGTGTCTCCGCTTCAACAGGATCGTTTACTGATGGCCCATGCCAGACACCACCATCACCGTCCGCAATCGTTAGCCGATGTTGTGTTGGCTTTTTCTGTGGTGTCACATCAAAGCTGATCCGGGAAACGTTAACGCGATAGGTATTAGTCGGCAAATAGGTCATCTCCACATTTGGTGCGTCCGAGCGATTCATGTTCCGTGGACCCTGAGTTTTGCCCCGACACTGTAGAATTGCTTGAAATTCCTGGCGGAAGTTATTATTCAACCAGGCGTACAAAAATGGATTATATACTGCCGAGCTCATAGCTAGCATGTGACAAAATATAAATGCGTTGTGGAAATGCCAACTTTCCTCAATCTGACCACCCACTGAGTCAACAATAATCCACAGTGCGTGCAAAGGAATCCAACACAGCACAAATATGACCACCATGGCGATCAGCATTTTATTGGTGCGACGTTTTCTTCGAATATCACTTTCCTCACGTTCTCGACTCTTTTGACCCGATCCAATTTTCAAATCGCATCGTGCACGTAGGACACAACTTACGCGATAATAACAGATAGAGATGATGAAACAGGGAACAACAAACTGCAGGACGAATGTGATCACTGTGTAAATCTGTCCGAGAACAAATGAACAGAGAGAAATAGAGAGTCAGCTAAGATGAGAAAATTCGTTTCGTAGGAATTATTCAATAATTGCAGCACAGCATATATTGCTGAAAGTTGTTTTCACTTTCAAATAACAAAGAAAGTGCTAATGATGAGGCTCTATGCGAACAGTTAATTTGAACAACCAATTCACATAACCATATCCCTCCATGGCATTCATATTCATCCACCCTCTCTTGGTAAACATTTCCGACACGGTTTGCTTTGTTTAAGGACCCCATAAAACAAACTGAGGAAGCAACCTGTTTCAGCCAATGGAAACTAAAAGGACAAGTTTGTTTGAGGTTGTTTGAAATTATCGGGATATGTTATCTATTGTTGAGGCGGAAGTAAGAGTGCCCGGTTTCATTGAGCTCACGTTCGTTTGAGTGACAAAGCTCTTCGGGAACCAAACAAGTTTCGAGTAACTTCAAAAATATATTTAATTTTTGTTCTCTCACAACTTCACCTGTTCGCTTTTACATTTGAAAACTTCAATTCAATCATCCCGAGAGATTCCAAATAAGCCTTATTAGTTAGGAGCAACAAATAACGGTAAAATGTTCACTTTATGCCCCTCCAACCTGTGCAGTTTCAGTTTTACAAATGTAATCGTTCCCAACAGTAATCCATTTATCTGCATCACTCATATTTTACGCAATGAATAAACCCCAAGTAGCCATTAGGTATGTGCCCAAGTTGATCACTCAATACTCAGAGGACGTGAGTTTCGGTCTAACTTTGTACTGATATTTACCATTTGGTTTAAATTTGCTAAATGTTTGCGTGTTTAAAACTGATGGACTGTATTCAATAATCACCCTGAGTCACTTTTACGTGCGTTGCTCTTTGTCGTCGAGTGAACACATAATTTCTTTATCTGAAAAAGAAATTATCATTTCCATTTCTTTTCACTTAAACCATCTAATGAAAACAATCACTTTCAATCTATATTGTTGGTGATTTTGTTCAGTAAAAACAAGTATACCGTTACCTTAACTTTCAAATTTTAAGTGCCTCTCCTTGGAGAAAGAACAATCTATGGGTCTACTTTCCAATTATTAGCTACAACAATTGTTTCTTAATATTGTTTACCGTAGGGTGAAAAACATTTTCCAACACTGCACAAAACAGGCACATTACCCGAAGCGGTATTTACACACACACACAAACACAAACACACACACATGCACACAGCAGTGACTCACATATGTTAGCTTCTCACGAGAAGGACAAGAACAAATGCTTCTAGATGACAGCCATTAAACTACATGACCGAATTCCTATGGATATTCATGCTCTACCATACACATGAACCCAATGCAACTTCAATACAATCGAATACAATCCCAACTAACGCCAAACCAGATGAACGGGCAAATCTCATTTTCCTGCATTTGATTAAAATGTAACTTAAACGCAGCAGAAACACAAAGTTGGACATAGTGGAATACGTCTCTTAGGAATCAAATTCAACTATTCAGAGTGAGATTTATCAGAAATTACATACTGAGAGCATTTCGCTGAAAATGAAATCAATCTGTTTTTTTTCAAAAATAATCAACCAAACAGGAGGCAAGACGACGAACAGGTTGGACAAATCAATATTATTCGAAGTAAACTAACTAATCAGTGTATTAAAAACATCAGTCATCGACTCAGAATGAATGACTGTGAAATGTCTGTGTTCGTTTACCAGAAGGCGTAGCCCGGAATAACACTACTTGTAACAACATGTGTCATTGTTTGCACACCCTGAGAAATAAACAAAAAGTATTTTACTGGTAATCAGCATCGATAAACGAGATGTTATCATTTGTATTGCAAAATTGTTTCCATGTGAAAAAGAAAAAATGTTTCATCAAAGAAGTTTCGAAATTTCAGACAACGCCCAAATTTATTATCATCTAACGAAAATCGCTGGGAAAATACAGCTCAAAATTACTTTCTGCCCCTTGTTGAGTTTCAAGTTAGTGGGATGATTAGTTAATTCCGCCTATCCTGAGCGTATTTTTCAGCCTCAATATCACGTTGAAAAAACAGAAACCCGTTTGCTTCATTCACATCAAGCTTAATATTTAAAAATTAGATCCCTTCTGAATCGTTTTACACAATATTTTGTTTTTAATGTCAATAAGCAACATTTATCAGAAATAAAAACAACTACTAATCTACTGAACATAATAATTTAGCTGCTTGCGCGTGATCCTCATTGTTCGTTTTATTCTTTGCGCTGTTGCCGATTAACAGTTTATTTCGAATAGCAAACGAATAACCATTACCTATATTCACCCGGTTTGTCAAACATTAGAGAGTGTCTGATTCATATAAGATTCCCTATTTCTACCTGTATCGATCGAATTGTACTCGTAAGGCTCTAAAACGAACCACGAAATCGAACTATTGATATCCATTTGGCATTTAAACCAAAAATTTGATTTGTCAGGTTAGTTCAACACAATGCACAAAAGGAGTAAAACATACATCCCTTTTCCAACAGTTTGTTTGATAAACTTGCCTCAACTGACTTATAGAGCGGAAGTCATGATGAAGCTCAAATTTGTCACTCAACCAACCTGGATATCGATTATTTCAAAATCACTGTTTGAATTGTCTACAAAGTTCGAACAAAACAGTGCAAGAACAATTTGAATAGTGAAGATTGCAAATTTTGTCATCAGCCTAATGAAGCTGTTTACAAACACTTATGCTTAGAAGCAATTTTCACTTAACTCTGAACAAGTGATGATTTCCATACCCATTAATAATGATTCAGTGAATCATGTTCTTCTTTTGAACCTTGGCGAAAAACTGCATTTCCAGTTTTGTATGTGAAACAATATCTACATTTTGTGTCCTTAATATCCGAATATTACATGATGTATGTATATCACAGAAATATCACCAAATACATCCTTTATATCAACTCCACGTCAGACTCTATAATAAACACGACTTGACACTATCAATCTGACCGTTTTATTTGCAAACCTTTTCACGGGAATGTATCTGATTGCAATGTCAAAGTCAATATTTGTGTGCACTAGTGTGGGCTTTCAAAATCCCACAATGATCGCTCAAAGAGATGAAACTTTAGTGCACCCAAGAGATTTAAAGAGGAAAAACTGTGAAATTCTTACCAGTTAATTAATTAAATCAACTGGAGCCAGACCAGATTCTGCTATAAAAGGAATTTTCGAAAGAAACAAGGGCAAGAATGATTAAATCAGAAATATTTTTTCAGTCGATTTGAATGAAACTTAATATCACCGTCTCATATCGTCGACATGAGAAAACTTTGTTCACCTGCATAGTCGTTTAACAGCTATCATCGTGTTATACATTATTGTCAACATTCAAATATCACCTTAAGCTCATCTCTTATTGAGAGTGAAAGACAAATGTATTATTACTTTTTCAATAAAATTTAATTACTGTGTAGAACACTCGAAACCGAATAGACTTTTCTTACCGGTTGTGATCCTTTATCTGGCCAAGACTGTTCACAATTTGCATCTTTGGTAACTGGATCCACTTTGATTTCTTGATATATACCCAACGGTAATGTCACCAGAATGGAGAACAACCAAACGGATGCTATGATTAAGCCACAGATGGTTTCAGACATACGTGAAACAAATGGGTGCACAATTACTAGATAACGGTCCACAGCAATTGCGGTTGAAGTTAGCGTAGACACATACACACTTGTTCCCATTGTCATGGGCAATAAATGGCACAGTGCTGATGGCAACTTCCAACCTTTCATATAGAAGGCCAAGGGAGTGAACGGTGTCGATACAAAGGTCATGAGAAGGTCAGATACTGCCAGGTTAGCAATGAACAAATTAGTGATCGTCCGCATGGCAACAGATCGTATCACAGTCAAAATGACAATGCTATTTCCAACTGTACTGAGCAAAATAATCGACGGATAGATAATAGCAGCCGCAATTTTCATTGCCGACTGAGATTGCTGTGTGTCAACAAAGGCAGAGGACGAGTTTCCCGTCTCATTCGCCTCGGATGTTGGTAAACCGCTATCATTAAACATGACACAGTATAATGGGACGGAAAGTGTAGATTCAGTTCGAACAACACACTGAATATAGGATAACGATGTGAGCATTAGAAAGTAGGTTCACTGTTTCCCATTTTACCCTGATTGGTTGGAAATTCTGCACCAATGGGAAGACGATCAAACGACTAACCATTTTCACTTACTGACTCCTATTCTCACCTGTATGATACATTAAACTGAATTGGATAAGATACAATTGCCCTGTGATGCCAAATAAAAAATCATCAAAGAAATATAATACATCTTGAATATGGGTGCAAGACATAAAAAGCAAACTCCATTCAGAACCCATCAGCAAAGAATACAAAAACGCGTGAAACATAAATGTGAACACCATGGAAGTTGATCAAACCAGAGTACAAGGGATTTCAGTAGTAATTTTTCTTTACGCCTAAACAATTGTTTTATCAAGATAGAAAGATAAATACGTTCTCGATTATCCTTTCGTCTGTCAGTTATTTGTATATTCAATGCCGATCTTGAGCGTGTTTTAGGGGGCTATCGCGAATTGAACCCAAATTCGACACATGCGTTTTCAATTAGTAGGATTCCTTTTACAATCGATAACCACCGGCTTCGATAAACAATTTCTATACCGTACTGGATATATTTATCATTGTCTTCAGTCAACGAAACGTTTTGAGAATCATACTAGTAGAGCATTTCCTTTCCTTTCAAATCTTGTGGTTTCGGATGAATTTAAGGACCAAGCATATCGTCCATCGAGATGGATGTTGAGACACGTTTGAGGGAGATTGTGCTCATCCTGAGGACAGATCTAACCCGAGTTGCGGTTGTAGAGACCAACGCCAAATATATCGAGCTGACTAGAGACCACTTTCACTTCCATTGTCGTTTTATTCCCTAGATCCCCGGAATGGTTCCACATAAGTAATGTAAGCTCACCATTTCGAAGAATTGTGTGAAAAAACTGAAGAAGACTTTATCCAAATAATCTGAAGCAATACAGACACAAGCAGTGGCGAGGGAACAAACTAGACAGAAACGTTATTTTGCCTCAAACTGCTGGGCCAAAAGTAACCCCATGAGAGATTCTTGAAACTCCAAAGCGTGTGTTCATGCATCAGACGTTTCGCACTCAACTACATTCAACCACTTGCCTAAGATGAAGAGAGGAAAAAAAATTTCAATTTGTATGGTTTAGCGTATTACCTATACGGAAAAATTTGTTGTGTAAAAACGTTTCCCTCACAAAAGCATATCGAAGTTGCCCACGTTACAGAATGATAAATAAAATGAAAGTTTAGGAAAGATTTGCAAAGCATATCAAAACTGATGGAAAAAAAATGTCACCATCAAGATTGTGAAAACCAAAACTTGGATTCCATCAAAGAAGTTCAACGATAACATTCGAGGCTACCGTAGATCAACATTTCTCATCCAAATGACGTGACACACAAGGCTCCTCTATCACATCAAGTGCAATGATCAGTCTATTTTATTTGAAATTATAAAACCCCGTTGATTTCGCATCGTTCTACATAAACCAGAATTTCAAGGCAGAAAATTCACTCACTTTTCTCGGGGACAATATTGATCCGACTGTAAATGGTGCTTTAAGCATATGTATTTGTCGATTGAAATCTGCCTCAAGCACGTTTTGTAGTGAAACTAAAATTAACGTCATCCAACTCTCTCATGCAGAACATACGTAATTGTGTCCACACCATATCGGTCGTATTCTGGAACACTCATTTTTATGTACGATTTCATTCCTATCTTCTGGATTGTTCTTTAGGCATTGCATGATTTATGTGCTGATTGAATGTGCAACCGATGTCGTCCGAAAAGTGGTCCTACTAAGAGGCTTTCGCATTAGGCGTGTACACCTTTCCAAGTAGAATTAAAACTAGTGTGCTTTCACATCAAAATGTTCATTGCACGGGACAATCCGTAGCACTGCTTGTTGAACAACAACTAAGATGAAAAAAATGTTCTTTTCATTTTTATAGTTAAACACATCGACCAAATGATCGAAGACGTGAATTTCAAACAAAACAACACATTGATGAAAAACCGCGTTGTCAATGATTTTTATTATTTAAAATACATCACAATATATATCACGACTTATGTATGAATTGTGTTGAAAAATAAATATAAAATCATGTCACATCACGGATTACCATAGAATGGATTCGATCACGAGACGGAAAATCTGATTGATACGGTGTACGTGTGTGTGGTGGGTGGGCCAGGGAAGCTTAGGGGCCTGTAGATTTTGTTTTTCAGCATACCGCTTAAGGTATAAAGAAACCTGGTGAGTTGTCTAGCAAATAGACCAGATAGATCGGTAGTGGGGACACTAGAAGAAGAGCTCCATTTAACAATATCGATCATTCCTCCTAATGGTATCCAGAACGTTGAGGCAACGAAATAATTCAATGAATGAAGTGAACGTTACAGAACACCTAGGTTAAGAAACAGTCTGTATACATTTTTGTGCCCTTCAAGGAGCACTCATTAGTTGAAATTATACAACGGAGATTATTCGATGCAACTGATAGACATATCTATGCATCAAAGCTGTTTGTCTTGTCAAAAACCACTTGTGCGTTTACGATTGAAGGATAAAGTTACCGAATGGGTTGTGTCATTCTGTGTATACTCAAATGCTTTTTTGTGGAACTCAATGCATAAGCCACATGGTCAGGCACTCGTGAAGACTACCCTGCGGGGCTTATTACCAGAACGATTGAAACACTCATCTACACCAAGTTGAAATAATCTGTGAACGTGGCCTAAAGTTATTAGGTCATTATTGACGCAGTTTTGCTTTAAATTCTAGGAAAAGCATTGGGAATTATTTTGCACGCACCCCCTCCTGCTGTTTGCTCAAATCAATTTGTGCAAATGATTAGGTTTCTCTGGCTACCCACAAAGCACACACGCATACCGCATTACGAGTACTCTCGCTTACTGGATGGGTGCACAAATAACTGTGGTCATAGTGAATCCAATTTGCGGTTTCATGATGTAATCCATTCCAGTAATCCGTGATGTGATGTGATTTTATCTTGCAAGCCATCAACACCTGTGTGGTGGTATATATTGTGATGTATTGAGAATGATAGAACTCATTGAAAAGGCGGATTTTCACCAATTTTTTTCTTATTAGAAATGTACCCCGTGAGACTATTCAGACAAAATGTGAATTATAAACACCCCTGACGAATCCAAAACCGTCATTAGTTCCTGTTGTGGTTTTAGGAAGAATCAACTGAAAGTAATCGACCAACTCCATAGTAGTCGAGCTTCAGTGTATTCAATACTAACATCTATATAACGAGTTCTAATGATCGCAAGAAAAGCTATGCATCACTATTGAAACAGGCTGCCACAACTATTCACTCAAGTAGCTCGGTTATGCCAACCTTTTTTCACGACTTTCTAACAATCTTTCATAGTTATTGACTAGTTTACTTCATTATCATACTTAGGTGGTAGAGAATACTATTTGTCTTTCAGGACTCCGAAGATTACCTGTAGGAGTCGAAGTAGGCACATATTATGAATCACGAACGCCACCGAAACAGTTAATCGCACTAGCACTTGCGCACAACAAGCTCCCGAGACGCCGAGACGCAGGAAAAAGACCACAGAAGAGGCAGTTTGTATAATGAAAGAAATCAATGGGATTGAATAACATGTAGAAAGGAGGTTTATTGGTTATACAGGTATCCACCAATGGCCTGTTTGTATTCTTGACGTCATACATCTGCTTGAACCCTACGACTTCTGAATTTATCGGCATTTTTGGCCTGTGGTTCGTTGTCCGGAAACTGTAACACGTCGCTCCGTGGCTGTCGTTGTCCCGTGGACTAGGATCATCACACTACCGTAAGTAAATTCAAATGCAAAGAAACAGTGGAAGGTTTAAACTGTTTGTATTGGCAACATGCTCTGATGAATGGTGTGCAAAAGAAATGAAGCTTTACCCCTATGCCTAATCACTTCTTTCTAGTGGGGTCCAGTCAGTGGAGTAAATTCACTGAGTCAAGTGATGAGATTAATTTGGATTACAATGAGGATGAAGATGAGATTGCATGCTGAATCACGGGTTTAAAATTGAGGATCCGCATTCATCTTAGTCCGCTGAAGAATGAGAATAAAATCTTTGAATCCCATAATATGGTGGTCAGACCATTTGTTTCACGCCTCCGCAGTCAGTTCCAAACATGGGTTTACTTTCAGTTATAATATAATGTAGAACAACTGGATTGCATGATGGTTTACACCTGATGTAGAAGAAATGTTTACTTCAGATCGAGTAGTGTCAAATGCCTAGGATTAAGCACAACTGTTGGGACAATGAAAGGCTTTTGAAAAAGTTTCCTCAGGACACATCGGGATTCAAGCGCTCGATGCGACGACAGTCATCAGAATGCCTAATCTTATTCTCTTCCGGTGGATTAGAAATGATTTTGAACACTCTTTACGATTGGCATGATAACTTTCTGTATCTGTCCGTTCAACGGCAAGTGAATACGATGAATCATTCCACAGCGTGAATTTTGATTTCATCGGTTTATTATTCACTTCCTATGGGGAAGAACAATTACTATTGGGCGTGCTGCGCAGATGGGTTCCAATCTATGCCTTGATCTATAAACGTCCGACAAGAAATTGACGAGCTTTCATTTTAAGTTTGTTCTCAACGTGCAACTAAACGAAAATCCTATGATTCTGGCGACTTTTCAATACACCTATGCCTTTGAACATAAAACGAAACCGTCATACCTTCAAGTGATTCCAACCAATCGCATTCTGCTGGTCATCAGAGAGTGATTGGTGCTGCATCCGTCACACGCCACCAATTAGATCGGGTGTAGTAAACCCCGTACAGTCGAAATGAACTGATTTATACATTCAGAAACTAACTAATTTTGATTCAAATGCAACCAAGGTTCTAACTGCGGTGGAGTTGGACTGTTCGTCCCTCACCTGGAGAACGTTATATCCTTGACTGCCGATCGAGTGAGCTTGAGACCAGAAAATACTAACCCTGCAGTACTTGACCTCGTTCGGCCGAGTAAACAAGCGAATCAAGTCAAGATGAATCCGTAAATCGGTCACTATGCTCAATATTGGAATCAGTATCCAGCCTAGAGAATTAATAGCTTAGTAAGTAAGTTGAAGTGAAACAGACGTTTCCTCGAACACCACAGATTCTTTTGAACCAGATTCCATTTCTGACTTATTTTTGATATTGAAAAACACAATTGAAAGATAAATTTGTCAGTT